CATCTGTATTCCCAGCTACTTGGGAAGCTGAGGCAGGAAAATTGCTTGAACCTGGGAGGCGGAGGTTGCAGTGAGCCAAGATTGCATCACTGCACTCCAGTCTGGTGACAGAATGAGACTCCATCTCACCCAAAAAAGAAAACAATGGTAGCTTTTTACTTACAGAAAAGACTACTACAGTGTGAGAAATCACAGGGGACAAACTATACATAAATGCGACATGTGAGTTAAATGGGCAATACCTCAGTCATTAGAATCTAACTTGAGTCTTTCTCTGCTTTCTGGGAGTCTTCTCCACCTTGATCTGCCGTGATCTTTGGTCTAGCTCTATAGATACTCAAGATGAATGGTTCTTTCTGGCAGATTTACTAAGCATAGCCTTGGGGAGCGGGTCAGAATGACACTTTGGCACAGTGGGTAAAGCTGCCAGCATCTTAGCACCAAACTCTACCAGTAGTCATATTCTTTCACCTTTCATGTAAAACACAATTTTTAGTTATTTATTTAATTTTTTGAGAGAGAATCTTGTTCTGTCTCCCAGGCTGGAGTGCAGTGGTGTGATCTTGGTTCACTGCAAACTCTGCCTCCTGGGTTCAAGCGATTCTCCTGCCTCAGCCTCCCAAGTAGCTGGGATTACAGGTGTGCACTACCACACCTGGCTAATTTTTGTATTTTTGGTATTTTTACTATGTTGGCCAGGCTGGTCTCAAACTCCTGACCTCAGGTGATCCTCCTGCTTTGGCCTCCCAAAGTCCTGGGATTACAGGTGTAAGCCACTGTGCCCAGCCTAAAACATTATTTTTACTTTAGAACAAATGACTAACATCAAACTGTCAGTCAAACTTTGAATTCAGAATTAGGTATTTGGTAGATTTTTATCCCCCAAATGAGTAAGTTTTAAGCTTTCAAAGCAAAAATTAGAATTTCAAAAAACTTCCGGGTGCCTCCATGAGCTTGGCAGTATTCTACACTCAAAGACTGTTAATGATATTAGTGGTAATATTTTCATGATGTGATTTTTGGATAGTACATAATAAAATGTGTCAACATTTTGAACATCTGCATATCTCGGTGAGACCACTATTTTCTGAATGACCAATGCATGCTGTTAAAAACCATGCATGGATAAAAAGTATTTATTCAAAGTGTAAAACTGACCGATGGATTTTAATGTAAGAGTATAAAACTTTCTTGATATGGCTTTAGAGTCCACATTGCACCTAAACATTAAGAAATTAACCTTTGTCAAATTTTGGTATAGAATTAAATATCCACAATTACCTAAAAAGGCTATTAAAATATTCCTTTTTTCCAAATACACATCTGTGTGAGGCCATATTTTCTCCATATTCTTCAATTAAAATAACATATGACCACAGATAGCACGCAGAAGCAGATGGGAGAATCCTATTGTCTTCTATTATGCCAGCCATTAAAGATTTGCAAAAATGTAAAGACAATACTACTCTTGCTATTTTTTAGAAATTTTTTTTTTTTACAAAATCTGTTTGGTTAACATATAATGAGTTTGTGATTGCTATATATTTTTTTTAGACAGGGTCTTTGAAGGGTTTTGATTTGTCACCCAAGCTGGAGTGCAGTAGTGACTGCACCCTCAAACTCTGGGGCTCAAATGATCCTCCTGCCTCAGCCTCCCAAGTAGCTGGGAATACAGGTGCATGCCACCATGCCCAGCTTTGTAGTTACTATTTTTAATAAATGGATACATATTTTAAATGATTTCTTATCTATAATCTTCTCTTTCCACTGTTTTTGAGTTAGGTGCTGTAAACAGATTTGTCCACTCTCTCATTTATTTATTCAGGGTGATGGCAGTGTTCTATCATCCCAGCAATGTAGGGAGCAGAAGGCAATGGAAGACAGGGTGATTAGAATCTTCTGGAAAATGTGTGTACACTCATGTAGATGATGTAATATCTTTGGAACATCTTTTGGTTGGGTTTCGTGTTTCCCAAATTGCTGTCTTCAATTCAAAGCTCTCTCCTGACTCTCTCATTCACTTAACAAATATTTATTTAGTGTCAGCAATGTGCCAAGCAGTGTGTATCCAATGGTCTTCACAACACGTCTCCTTGGATGTCCAGCAGGCACTGCAAATTCTGAATCACCCACGCTAACCTCATGTTTCCTCTCAACAGCTCCTCTTCCCATGCTCCTGTCACACTGACTGCTGCCCTGAGCCACCCTGAGGCTCAGGCCAAACATCCGGGCATTCTCCTCACCTATTCTCTCTCCCTTCATCCAACCCACTCTCAAGTCCTGGAAAATCTACCTTTTTAATATGTATCAAATGTTCCACTTTTCTCCATCTACCCTCATTCAGACTTCCTTTATCCCTCGCTAAATTATTAGCAACAGCCTTCAAACTGTTCTCTCTCGTCCTATCTTAGCCCTTTCTCCTCCGTATCCCACACTGCATGGGGCCCAGCAATCCTTGACAGCATGTCATTAAAAGGACTGGGGTTGAATCATCTCCATTTCACAGATGAGAAAAACAAGGCTGTGGAAGCTAAATAACTTCCAAGTGATATTTATTTATTTATTTAGAGACGGAGTCTTGCTCTGTCGCCAGGCTTGAGTGCAATGGTGTGATCTCGGCTCACTGCAACTTCTGCCTCCCAGGTTCAAGCGATTCTCCTGCCTCAGCCTCCCAAGTAGCTGGGACAACAGGTACCCACCACCACACCCAGCTAATTTTTTGTATTTTTAGTAGAGATGGGATTTCACCATGTTGTCCAGGCTTGTCTTGATCTCTTGAGCCCGTGATCTGCCTGCCTTGGCCTCCCAAAGTGCTGGGATTATAAGCATGATCCAACATGCTTGGCCCAAGTGGTAGATTTTAAAGACAAAGCAGATCAGATCACGCCCTCTGTTTAACCTCTAAGGTCATTAATTCTAAAGATAAAATACATGCTCTTCAATAAGGCATGTGCGGGTCCTCCGTGCCTAACTGTCCCCTCCTTTGTGCCCTATGCTCCTTTCATCACCAGGCTTTTAAAAAATACCTGTTACTTCCTTTGCCTGGGCCACTCTTCCTCCCACAGACTTTAGCTGTATCTTTCTTCAGGAACCCTGCCCTGACTCCCTAAGACTGGGTGAGGCGCCTTGCTTATGATTCACGTGGCAACCTGTCTTCAGTCTAACGGCAGTAGCACTTATCACACCATTTTAAAAATTTTGTATTCCCCTACCCCTTCAGGGAGGACCTGTAATACATTTAGACTATTGTCACATTCTGCATTTCCTGCTGGGAAATGCAGAATGTGACATGTAGATGATGTAGTATCTTTGGAACATGACTTGACTTCCTAAATTTTTTTCTCAATTTTCATACATTAGGTCAAGTCCTTGTGCTGTGAAGTTCTTCATCACCCGCCCACCATTACCATGTCATACAGAATCATTTCACTGTCTGCCAATTACCCTGTGGGTCCATCTCCCCCAACGCTCCCTCCCCTGCGCCATGCCACCATTTAACTACCTATAGACTTGATGAGCTCTCTCTCTTGGGTTCAAGATTCATTCCGTTTAACCTGGTGTTCCCAGCCTGAGACAAAATGCCCAGTACTCTGAGGATACTCTACAAGTATCTGTGGAATGCAAGAACTACAAACTTGTACTGCATCTACAGGTTAAACCTTGTCCCTGAGTGGTAATGGTGCCAGTGAATGAGTAGCTCTGATGCCCATGGCAGCCCATTCCACAGCTCCAGTTTGCTCCCAAGCCCCCAGGCCCCACTCCGTTGTCCCTTCCTGGATGGCATGTGTTTGTCCAAATGGGTGCAGCCCTGAGATGACTAAGTGACTCAAACGCCTGCCGGGCTCGGGCGGAAGGACTCGTGACAGGAACTGCTGCCCAAGCAATGGAAAAGGGTACCAGCCCCTTGGGGAAGGGATGCTGCTTACCAGGGAACTACACGCAGCAGAGAAGAAAGGACAGTGGGAGCTCTGAAAAGCTTGAGTTGTGAAGCCCCGCCTTTAAACCAACCTGCTTACTTGTCAGGTTTTTATTTCTGTTCTTTTTCTTTTCTTTGAGACAGAGTCTCACTCTGTCACCCAGTCACCCAGGCTGGAGTACAGTAGCACAATCTTGGTTCACTGCAACCTCTGCCTCCCAGGTTCAAGTGATTTTCCTGCCTCAGTCTCCCAAGTAGCTGGAATTGCAGGTACACACCACCATATCCAGCTAATTCTTTTGTATTTTTAGTAGAGACGGGGTTTCACCATGTTGGCCAGGCCAGTCTCCAACTCCTGACCTCAAGTGATCCACCCACCTGAGCCTCCCAAAGTGCTGGGATTCCAGGCATGAGCCACCGCGCCCGGCCTTAAGTGTCAGTTTTAATACTAAGGCCAGCATCACCACGAGGCTGCAAATCAAGGCACTCTCTGTGTATTGCTAGGCAGGCTGGGTGAGGACTTGGCCCTGAAAGTCTAGTCCCTGCTTGGAAATCTGCCTTTCTAGCTCCAATGACTTTAGAAGGAGTTGGGAGAACTCCAGAGCTGCGGGTGGAGGGAGAAGCTCCTGATAAGTGAACCGTCAGAGCCTGAACAATGGCTTCCTCTGTGCAGCTGGGCTGTGCACCTGGTGCCTGCACAGGGCCCTCTGTGCTTTTGTCCTTCCGCACACAGTAATGTCCACACACAGACGAGACTTATAAATACCCTCCAAAGGAGAAGTGAAATTACTGACCAGTTCTCCTTTTCTCTGCTTAGCTGGAGCCTAGCAGCTGAGAGCAACTGGTACACACTCACATTCCCCAGTAGAGCGGCTCAACCTGCTTTCATTATTTTATGGTTGGGAAGCTTTTGGCAAACATCCTGTTTTGGATGAAATGGGACTCAGACTGACTCTCAAAGGCTAAATTTACTGCCTAGAAACTTCAAGCAAATGAGAAGAGAAAGCAAAGGAAAGGACAGGGCCGATGAATGCACCATTCACAGAAACAGAATGCCGGAGTCTTTTGGAAGTGAGCATTTTACCTGCACGTAGAAGGTCCTGGAGCTTGTTATTATTTCAAACAGGTTGTCCCGCATTAAGAGATCACTAGACGGAGAAAGAGAAAGAACATTACGGCAGCTGGCATACACATGGAGGATCAATATGTCCGAAGTTAAGACTCCAGTGCCCTCGACCATAAAAATGGAAGTTGCATGGCAGGGGTTGTTCCCAGCCTTTCTTCCTCAAGCTCCTGCCTTGAAATCAACACTCCAGAGGTTTCCTCATTTCCTAGAGGGTCTCAGGAGGCTCTTCCATCCAGATGGACCCTCCCCAGCCCCTTCTCCCAGCAGCAGTTCTAACAAGCTCTTTTCCCTCCAAAACCTCCTGCCTAATATCCAACCCGTCGCCCCCCCACCCACCATCTCCTACAGTTTCCTTCCTGCCGGCCTGCCTCCCTCCCTCCCTTAAGGTGTATGAGGTGCTTTGTGGGAAGCACCGTTTCAGGGGCTTTTTTGCAGATTATTTCATCTAATCTTCACAATAGTCCCGGGGAGCACTTCAGACTTTCCCCATTTTACAGATAAGGAAACCCAGACCCACACTCAGAGTCAAAATGACTCCTCCAAGTTGCTGGGTATTTGGAACCCAGGTCTGACTCCAGAGTCTCTGCTTTATTTCTTTGTTTTTTTGAGACAAGGTCTGGCTCTGTTGCCCAGACTGGAGTCCAGTGGTGTAACCATGGCTCACTGGGACTACAGGCACATGCCACCACTTCTGGCTAATTTTTGTATTTGTTGTAGAGACAGGGTTTTCCCATGTTGCCCAGGCTAGTCTTGAACTCCTGAGCTCAAGCAATCTGCCTGCCTCAGCTTCCCAAAGTGCTGGGATTATAGGCACGAGCCACTGCACCCAGTGAGCCTTGGCTTTTAATTACTCCACTGCCATTGGCCTCTCCTAAGGAAGCCAACTCTCCATTCCCTAAACTGTCTCCTTCACCCATGTAGCAGCTCCATCAGCTTCACTCAGCTCCTGCTCCTTGCCTCACTGTGTAGGGCCCAGGAGACGAAGAGCTTAAAGACGGGGAAAGCAAAGGGAAAGAGGATGACTTTAGGACACTTCTTTAGGGAACACTACTGGGCATGGGTTTTGGAAAAGAAACCCTGACTTCTGCAAGGAAGAGGGCAGGAAGTAGCTGATGCTCAGTGTCAAACCTCAGAGCAGCCCAAGTTATTTCCCACTGTTAAATGCCTTTTATGTATATCCCCTGACACGTCAGGGAGTATATTAGGAGTAAAAGACCTAATTCCCACCCAATGAAAGATCATGAGGGCCAGGCATGATGGCTCATGCCTGTAATCCCAGCACTTTGGGAGGCCAAGGCGGGCAGATCAGTTGAGTTCTAGGCCAGCCTGGGCAACACGGTAAACCTCGTCTCTACAAAAAAAATACAAAAATAAGTAGGGTGTGGTGGCACACATCTATGTCCCAGGCACTCAGGAGGCTGAGGTGGGAGGATCACCTAAGCCTGGCAGGCAGAGTTTGCAATGAACTGCGATTTAACAACTGCACTGCAGTCTGGGGACAGAGCAAGACTATCTCCAAAAAAACAGAACAAAAGGAAGCAAAACTGTAACACCGGATGTTTGATTGTGTGTTGTATGCCAAGAGTTGCAAAGGACTGATCACAGGTGGAGTTGGCTTCATGAATGAGAAAGCCTGCAAGTAAATAGCAGGGGCTCGGCCAGTGCCACGGGTGCCTGGGCAAAGGAGTGCATGAGACCAGAGACCCAAGAGGAAGAACAACAGGACAGGGGCCAGACAGACCTGGGGCAAATCCTGACTAATGTAGGGAAGAGACTTTTGAGAATGTTGTAAAAACTTAGGAAGCCTTTGTGACGCCAAGTGTAAAACAGAGATACATGAGAGGACCCCCTTTATCGGGCTGGTCACTACAAAGACCAGTTAGTTATAAAGTACAGAAGGCATCTGGCATAATGTATGTCACAGAATAGTCACTTGAAGCACATTTCACCAACTATAATTACTTTCTGTGTTTCTGAATAAAAAATGGCTCTTTCGCCAGGCACGGCAGCTCACGTCAGTAATCCCAGCATTTTGGGAGGCCGAGGCAGATGCATCATCTGAGGTTGGGAGTTTGAGACCAGCCTGACCAACATGGAGAAACCCTGTCTCTACTAAAAATACAAAATTAGCCAGGCATGGTGGCACATGCCTGCAATCCCAGCTGCTTGGGAGGCTGAGGTAGGAGAATCGCTTGACCCTGGGAGGCAGAGGTTGCAGTGAGCGGAGATCCCGCCATTGCACTCCAGCCTGGGCAACAAGCGTGAAACTCTGTCACAAAAAGTAAAAAAGTCTCTTTCTGGCTAAAATGTCTTAACCTTTCAAATTCTATTCATGCTTAGCCAGTAAAGTCACATAAACAACTACTGAGGAGGTGAAAGAAAAGCAGGTGGGAAATCCCCACGCCTTTCACATCCACTTCTCAGGGTGGGAAGGGCGTGAGGGGGGTGAAGCTACGCATCGGACTCCGTGGACACTGCTGCAGACGGGTGCACCACAACCTCAGAAATCAGCACTGAAGAACTTTTCCATGCAACCAAACAACACCTGTTCCCCAAAAACTACTGAAATTTTAAAAAATTAAAAATCTAAAAAAAAAAAATTAAAAATTTAGATGAAGTTTTGCTCTTATTGCCCAGGCTGGAGTGCAATGTCACAATCTCAGCTCACTGCAACCCCTGCCTCTGGGGTTCAAGCGATTCTCCTGCCACAGCCTCCCAAGTAGCTGTGATTTCAGGTGTCCGCCACCACACATTGCTAATTTTTTGTATTTTTAATAGAGACAGGGTTTCGCCATGTTGGCCAGGCTTGTCTTGAACTCCTGGCCTCAGGTGATCTACCCACCTCAGCCTCCCAAAGTGCTGGGAGTGGATTACAGGTCTAAGCCATCGTGCCTGGCCTAAAAAGATACGTATTTTTTTAAAATGACACAAGGCTACACGGTGCCTTGCAACTCAATTCACTTGAACAAATATTCAGTGATTATCAAGATGTCCTAAACCCCAGGACTGGGTTCCAGGGAGGCCAAGCAGTCTAACAGACCTGGAAGCCCCCGAGCCCTAAGGACCTTCCTTCCCTGCTAGTCCCTGACTTCTTTAACTCAGTTCAGTGTGACGCTGGCAGAGTTAGAGTCAGGGAAAGTTCAAGGCACTCTCAGGATTTAATAGTAAGTTCCTTATGGTTCTCTAAGCTTCTCCAGTGTGCCCAGGTGGTCTCACATCTGCAAGGGCCCTCCAGGGTCCAGTACAATCAAGGCTCCCACCATGCCCAATCTTTCCTCTGCCTACTTCTGGAGCCACACTTACGGAATTTCCATCTATAGCTACTTTCATGAATTACAAATTGTCACTGGGAACCCTCCCCTCCATCTGCTGTACTCTGCAACTGCCAGACTCAGGAGGGTGCTTCTGTCCCTTCCTCCCTGGGTCACACAGCATGTTGTTTTCATGCAAGACTGTTCATGCCTTCATGGGAGAAGAGTCGGCCTGCTGTGAACAGTTTTCCTGATGTCTGCAGGCACAAGCCCTGAGACAGAGAAACATAAACACGCAGTCTCTAAAGACTGCAGATTGATGGCCAGGAAGAGGGTTTCTGGATGCCTTGATACCCTTGGGGTCTCTAAAATTTGGGGTTTTTTTGTTTGTTTGCGTGTTTGTTTGTTTGAGACAGAGTTTCACTCTGATACCCAGACTGGAGTGCAGTGGCATGATCTCGGCTAACTGCAACCACCGCCTCCCAGGTTCAAGCGATTCTCCTGCCTCATCCTCGAGAGTAGCTGAGATTACAGGCACACACCCACCACACCTAGCTAATTTTTGTATTTTTAGTAGAGTTGGGGTTTCACCACATTGGCCAGGCTGGACTCGATCTCCTGACTTCATGATCTGCCCGCCTCGGCTTCCCAAAGTGCTGGGATTACAGGAGTGAGCCACCACGTCCGGCCTAAATTTTAGTTCTATAGGCATCTGTATTAGGTGTTGGATCTGGACGATCCCTTGCCAAGTCCCAAACTCATCCTATGCAATGTGACACTTGGAAGGTAACCATTTCCTAGCGGACAGAGGAATATCTTTAAAACACCTGTTCTGGCTGGGTGAGGTGGTTCACGCCTATAAGCCCAGCACTCTGGGAGGCCGAGGAGGGTGGATCATGAGGTCAAGAGATTGAGATCATCCTGGTCAACATGGTGAAACCCCGTCTCTACTAAAAATACAAAAATTAGCTGGGCATGGTGGTGCACGCCTGTAGTCCCAGCTACTCGGGAGGCTGAGGCAGGAGAATTGCTTGAACCCAGGAGGCGGAGGTTGCAGTGAGCCAAGATCATGCCATTGCACTCCAGTCTGGGTAACAACTGCGAAACTCCGTCTCCAAAAAAAAAAAAAACACAAAAAAAAGACCTGTTCTTCCTTCCCAGTGGGAGTAACACAGAGATGTTATGAATCACCCTTGTGTTAATGGGACATTAGGGTCAAAAGGAGGAGAAAAGGCATAAGAAGGTCAGGGAAGAGGCACTAGTACAGTGATATGACCAGAAGCACTGAGGTTAGTGACCTAGAGGCATGGCTCTCCTCTGAGCCTGAGTCGAGCATCTAATCCTAATATCTGAGAAGCATCGGAGCCCCACTCTTTGTTTCTATATCCTTTCTTTTTGGCCACCAAAATCTATTACACAGGCCTGTCTGCTTGGGAGCCAGAGTAAGGTATGGGAAGAGGGCAAGTGTGCCCAGGGCGGTCTCCTCCCTGCGTTGGCTTGGATGCACTGAGTCAGCTACAAGGTGCTAGTTAGGCTCCTGTACCTGGCTCCTTGAAGAAGATAACTCTGGCATAGAGTCTCTAAAGGGTAGTAAAGAGAGATTTAAGAGGACAAATGGAGGTTTGGATCAGAAGAGATAAAGCAGACACAATTACCCAGACTTGACCAGACATTCATGGGTCTTGAGAACATCCTTAAGAAATATAGTACGCAGTGGTTCTCGATCCTGGTGGAAAGAACAGAGAGACAGGTAAGTGAGGCTGTCTGTGTCATATCATGACCCAGACCAGCTGATCAACACCGCTTTCTAAGAGATGGTCAGCTCAAATCAGGTTGACAAACAACCTGGTCTCAAAATAATCAGCAAGACAAAAAAAAATCTGGCTGGGCAGTGTGGCTCATGCCTGTAATACCAGGACTTTGGGAGGCCAAGGCAGGAGGACTGCTTGAGGCCAGGAGTTCAATATCAGCCTGGGCAACATAGTGAAACCCTGTCTCTACAAAAAAATAAAAGAAATTAAAATTAGCTGGGTGTGGTGGCACACGCCTGTTATCCCAGCTACTTCAGAGGCTGAGGTGACAGGATCGCTTGAGCCTGGGAGGTCAAGGCTGCGGTGAGTCATGATGGCACCACTGTGCTCCAGCCTGGGTGACAGACCCTCTCTCCAAAAACAAGAAACAAGAAAAAAAATCTAAGAAGATGCTGTGTTGCTGTGACTCTAGCCACTCCACAGCTCACTGCAGAGGACACTTTACTGTCACTGTCAAGATGTGTGCACAGAGTGGATGGAGATAAGACAGAGGCGCCTTTGAAATCTCTCTATGCCCACATCTCCCCTCATGCACGCTCTCCTGTGAGTGTGCATCTGTGCACCTGTTAGTTTCCATGACCTCTCAGAAGGACAGCAAAGCTACTACAAACCTGTTCACACTTGAAGTAGCAGATGGTAAAGTCATCAAGTGCAAAGAAGCGACGTTTCCAGCTCTTCCGCTGCAATAAAAAAATAAAGGACGTAACCTTAGCAAGAGGTCCCCAGCATTGTGGAGGGTGTTCTAATGCTAAGCTCCCAGGGACCCTGCCCCATGGAAATCTGGCTCCCATGTTCATCAGGGACAAGGGTTTCTTCATATCAGGGGCAATACCTCTGACAGGTGGGGGCCAATGGTCAGTCCCAAAATCTCATCCTTGAAGGTAGAGGCTCGATGGAGACTGAGGCAACTCCTGTCAATCTCCTCTCCCCTCTGCTATGTCTACAGCCACTAACTCTGAGGAGTCACAAGAATCCCATTCCAGCCCCTGTGCTGACACTCACCACGTTCCCTTGCTTCACGCAGTAACCACTCTTAATGAGGGGAGGCCCGGTGGAAGCACGGCAGCCTGATGTGGGGATGTAACTCTGAGACCTTCGAAGGATGGCATGGGACCCAGGCTCACTCCCTTCCTGCCCGTCCCCACCGTTCTGCAAGGAAACAGGGTCAGGATCAGCACCTCCCTCCCTCTATGCAGCCGCATCCCCACCCACCTCCCTCTACCTGAAGAATCTCTCGCCTCTTTGCCCGAAGTCAAAGAAGAAATAAATGGTAGGCACAGTGGCTCATGCCTGTCATCCCAACACTTTGGGAGGCCAAGGCAGGAGGATTACTGGAGCCCAGGAGTTTGAAACCAGTCTGGGCAACACAGTGAGAACCAGTCTCTACAAAAAAATTAAAAATTGTTTTAAATTTTTTTTAATTTTGATATTAAAATTTAAAATTTTTAAAGCCAGGCATGTAGTCCCAGCTACTTAGGAAGCAGAGGTGGGAGGATGGCTTGAGCCCAGGAGTTGGAGGTTGCAGTGAACCATGCTTATACCACTGCACTTCAGTCTGGGTGACAGAGCAAGACTCTGTCTCTAAAAAAAATTAAATAAGAACATGGCAAAACCCTATTTCCATCAAAAAATACAAAAAACTAGCCAGGCATGGTGGCACCTGCCTATGGTCCCACTTGAGCCTGGGAAGGCTGAGGTGGGAGGATTGCCTGAGCCTAGGAAACAGAGGCTACACTGAGCCATGATTATGTGTATTTGCACGTCAGCCAGGGCAGCAGAGTGAGACCCGTCTCAAAAAACAAATTAACTAAATAAAATAATTTAAACAGGAAAATAAACCTTTCTTTTGCTCTGTCATGCACTCAACTGGGTACTTTCACAGAGCCAGCGTCAGGGAGGTTGGGCCGACCCAGGAGAAACAGAAGTATAGAGAATGCGAACCAGGAGGGACACTGGGCTGGTTTCCGGCCTCGTCACCTTCCTCTGTCCCATTTCCTGTGGGTTTCACAAGAGCTCATCTCCTGTGTCTCCTGTACACGGGCCACATGGCTTCAAGATACAGTGGCAGCTGGGCATGGTGGCTCATGCCTGTAATTCCAGCTCTTTGGGAGGCCAAGGCGAGTGGATCACCTGAGGTCAGGAGTTCAAGCCCAGCCTGGACAACATGGTGAAACACCACCTCTACTAAAAATACAAAAATTAGCCAGGTGTGGTGGCACATGCCTGTAATTCCAGCTACTCAGGGGGCTGAGGCAGGAGAATCTCTTGAACCCAGGAGGTGGAGGTTGTAAGTCAGCCAAGATCACGCCATTGCACTCCAGCCTGGGCAATAGAGAGAGACACCACCTCAAAAAAAAAAGATGCAGTGGCCTCCACTTCTGCACTGCCATCACTAACAGCCATGAATGGGGATGTAACGTGCCCTGTACTTTCCTGATGGCTCTACTGGCACCAGCTCCCCCACTCCCACCCTCCCTTCCCCAGTACAGTGCTGTGAGCACATCATGGGCACACCATGGACACTTCTACACCCCGACTCCTACTGCATCCCCAGTCAGGCCCCTCACCTGGCTGATGGGTGTGTGGACCACCACCCCTCCAATGATCTCTGTCTTGTAGGCCACCTGTGGCTTCTTCTCCAGGGCTGGAGGAGCTGCTAAGCTCTTGAGAACTTCCGTGGTCACAGGCAGGCCCCCACCTTTGGGTACCTGGGGAAAGCGGCAGCAACAGTCACTGGGGAACAGAAGGTTTAGGAAACGTGGGGAGCCCAAAGCAGAATGGGGGTGCCGAGAGAAAAGCTAATGTGCCAATCAATTATAGTCAGACATCCGTGTCCTCCCCAGGCCTTCCACAGTCCAAATCCAAATGTGAGCGGCTCAGCCAGCAGTGCCCTCCCCACACACAGATACAAACCGACTCCAGGGATTTCTTGAGGACCTACTATAAGCCAGCCCTTCCCTGGCTAGAAACCAAAGATCAAGTGTCAAGTGAAACACACATGGATCCCCACCCTCATGACACTTACATGCTAGTAGGGAGAATAACCAAAAAAATATGTAAAACAAACACACTGATTATAAATGGTGGTGAGTGGCACCAAAAAGATCACGGGAGCTGAGGCAGCACACAGCAGGGACCTTCTGGAAACAGAGTGGGCAGGGAGGTGTCCAGAGAAGGAAGCAGGGAGACGCTCAAACGGCAACCTGGAGGCTAAACAGAAGCCTGGGGCCAGGTCTGAGGCCTCACACCTGTAATCCCAGCACACTGGGAGGCCAAGACAAGAGGGTCACTTGAGCCCAGGAGTTCAAGACCAGCCTGGCGAACATAGTGAGATCCTGTCTCTACCAAAAACGAAAAAAATTAGCCAGGCGTGGTAGCACATAGCTGCTCAAGAGGCGGAGGTGGGACAATCTCTTGAGCCCAGGAGTTGGAGGCTGCAGTGAAACATAATCACACCACTGTACTCCAGGCTGGGCGACAGAGACCCTGTCTCAAAAAATAATAAATGAATGAATGAAACTGGGAACCCGAAGCTGGGGGAAGCCATTCTGGGCAGATGGAACCGGTAAAATCCACGCCTATGAAGGGACAGAACAAGGGGTCTGTGAAGTCTGGAGCCAGAAGGCGTGTGGTACAACGTTTGACCTCTCACAAACCACCTGAGCGACCTTCGGCAAATCATCAAACCTCTCTAGGCCTAAACCATCTCATGCATAAAATGATAAGAATAATAATATTTATTGTAAGCATTGTTGTGGTTACCAAATGATAGAGTATACTAAGCACTTTAGAAACACAACTAAAAAGAAAAACATATTACAAAATATTTTAATTAAGGGATCCCAGGTGGCAATAATAATTATACACAGAGCCCTTTTAGAAGAATGAGTTATCGGCCAGGCACGGTGGCTCAAGCCTGTAAAATCCCAGCACCAAGGAGGCCAAGGTGGGCAGATCACCTGAGGTCAGGAGTTTGAGACCAGCTTGGCCAACACAGCGAAACCCCGTCTCTACTGAAAATACAAAAAAAAAAAATTAGCCGGACACCATGGTGCATGCCTGTAGTCCTAGCTGCTTGGGAGGTTGAACCCGGGAGGTGGTTGCAGTGAGCTGAGATTGCACCACTGCACTCCAGCCTGGGCACAACATTCAAAAAAAGAAGAATGAGTTATCTTTATTCTTCCTTCACAGAGGTATGGTACCATAGCTGATGAAATCATCATAGAATTTGTATGGTTAGTTGGAAATCGCAGGCCAGAGGTTGCAAATTGGTGGCCCACCGACTGACTTTGCCCGAACAATGTTTGGTTAGTCTCACACAGTGTTGTTTTCAATCTGCATCTAAATTTTGAGATATTTCACAGAAAAATCCAGAATATCGGCTATGTAGCAGTTCTGTCTTAGACAGAACGTAAACTCCATGTTTGCACAGTCCCTACTATTCTCCCCAGCAAAACAGGAGAGGCCAGGGGTCAGAGGGCACTTATCCTCATTCCTGTTGCCACATTTCTTCCTCCTTGCCCACTTCACTCATTTATACTAGAGTCTGCAAACGCTGAGGAAATCTTACATTCATAAGAAAGAAAGAAAAAAAAAAGAGGCCCAGAACAGTGGAGTCATTTGCCCAAAGCCAGGATTAACAGCTGAATGTTGGCCGGGTGTGGTGGCTCACGCCTGTCATCCCAGCACTTTGGGAAGCCTAGGCTGGCAGATCACCTGAGATCAGGAGTTCAAGACCAACCTGACCAACATGGTGAAACCCCATCTCTACTAAAAATACAAAAATTAGCTGGGCGTAGTGGCAGCTGCCTGTAGTCCCAGCTACTTGGGAGGCTGGGGCAGGAGAATCACTTGAACCTGGGAGGCGGAGGTTGCAGTGAGCCGAGATCACACTCCAGCACAATTGCACTCCAGAGTGGGCGACGGAGTGAGACTTCATTGCAAAAAAAGCAAAAACAAAACAAAACAAAAAACAGCTGAACGTCTACTCAACCCTGACTTTCCACTGGAGTCCCGGCATCACAGTGCCCACCTTCAGGAGAATGCAATACTCTGTGTCTATCTGCCAGGACGTCACTGGGATTTCATGAGAAAAGCTAAAGTCCTCTCCCACTTCTTCTAGAGCTTTCAGAGTCAGACAGGCCTACGGATCCAGACCCTTTCAAGAGCTTGGAGCTACATGAGAGCCCTGTCATTTGGTGTCTGTTCAAAACGCACCCTGATTATGCTGGGCCCCCACAAAGAAGATGAGACCTTCTCTTCCTGGACTGCGCACTCGGTTTACATAGACAAGGATGTCCTCTGCCCCCTCCCTACTTCCCCAAATCAGGCCAGAAATTCCACCTCTATTTTCCTTCTGGCTGAGAGATGCCAGCAGTTACAGTTTCTCCAGGCCTCCATTCAGTGTCAGGCAGTGCACTGATAAGCCTCTTTGCTGTGTTATCTCTAATCTTATCAGCTAGGCATGATTTTCTCCACTTTATGAGGTCAACCCAAGCTCATTAAAATTAAGTGATTTGGCCCCAGGACTGCCTGACTCCTTGTTGCTGCATGTCACCACCTACCTAAGCTACCCTCTCTAATTTTCTGTGAGTTTTGTTATTATGTAACCACATTTTTAGGGATGTTGATTTTTGCGGGGGTATTTAGTGACAAAATCACCATGGAACTGTAGAAATTTCCCCTAAATGGCCCAGATGAATTCCCGAAACCCAGCAAAGAAGGAGGGAAGTAACTTTTTAGAGTTCCCAGTGGCCAGAAAAGGAGGCACAGAGCTTGGCTGCTGCATTTCCTCTCAAAATCCCGAAGACCCCTATCTGTCACTGCTTATGCTCCTGTGTCATGCACTGCTTCAGATCAACAGGCAGACCCTTTCCAAAGCTGCTTCTGCTTCCTGAGACTTTGGTAAGAGATAGGGTTTCACTCTGTTGCCCAGGCTGAAGTACAGTGGTGCAATCATAACTCCCCACAGCCTCAAACTCCTGGGCTCAAGTGATCCTCCTGCCTCAGCCTCCTGAGTAGCTGGGACTACAGGCATGTGCCACCACACCCAGCTAATTTTTTTTTTTTTTTTTTTTTTTTTTTGTATTATTAGCAGAGACAGGAGATTTCACCACGTTGGCCAGACTGGTCTCGAGCTCCTGACCTGAAGTGATCCACCCACTTCAGCCTCCCAAAGTACTGGGATTACAGGTGTGAGCCACTGCTTTATTTTATTTTTGTAGAAATGGGGTCTCCTCTATGTTGCCCAGGCTGGTCTTGAACTCCTGGGCTCAAGTGATCTTCCCACCCTGGCCTCCCAAAGAGCTGGAATTACAAGTGTGAGCCACCACGCCCAGCCAACTTCCTGAGACTCTTAATCAGCTGGTGGAAGACAAATTCAACCATAACTAAGCTACATAGCGTGAAAACAAGGTGTTTTTTTGGTCTGTCCATATTCCAGAGGCCTTGTTTTACCCATCTGTGGGGCATCCTCTGATGAGGGAGAGGCACAGAGACCTCATCTGCGATGTAAAATAAATGCTCTCCTTTCCTCCGCTGGGCAGACTAGCCCACAAGAAGAAAGAGAAGAATCCAACCACGAGGGAAAGCTGTGCTTGATTTTTTTTTTTTTTTTTTTTTAGACTAAGTCTCACTCTGTCATCCTGGCTGGAGTGCAGTGGTACAATCTCAGCTCACTGCAACCTCTGTCTCCCAGGTTCAAGCAATTCTCCTGCCTCAGCCTCCCAAGTAGCTGGAACTACAAGTGTGTGCCATCACGCCTGGCTAAGTTTTTATTTTTAGTAGAGACATGGTTTCACCATGTTGGCCAGGCTGGTCTCAAACTCCTGACCTCAGGCGAACCACCCACCTTGGCCTCCAAAATGCTAGGATTACAGGTGTGAGCCACTGCACCCAGCCATCCATCCTCTCTCTTTTCATCACTCTGTCTTTTCACGGGTTTACCAAGGTTTATCAGAATAAGAAGCTAATCATCAAAACTGCTTATAGGACTCAGTTATATTCCAGTTGGGTCTAGCAATACTAGACAGGTGTACACATTTCTTCTATACAGATATTCACAGGAACCCTGAGATATCTGGGAGGATAATTTGCCACTGCACGTAGTAGTTATTACTGAAAGCCCCTCAAACGTAGGCATTTCTGACTGTATGATACAGAAACAAACTTTTCAGCATATAAACCATGGTCTATATAAGCCAGGAGTCTGCCCATCTTATTGATTACAAGTCTGTTTTTTTTCCAAAACATATAGTTTTTACTCTCCTTCCTTCTTACCCTTCTTCCTTTCTTTTTCTGTATTGCTTAGGAAAAAGAAAGGAAGTCTTCATTAGCCAGCTCAAGGGAAAAGAGCATACTCATAGGGTAGTCCATGAAGCAGCTCTGTGAAGCTTTTAAGCAGAAGGCTTTTCCAGGACAGGGAGGCAGGCGGCTTGCACTGAACTTGCAGGCAGCCTCTGAAAATAAGAAGAGTATCCCCCAAGCTGGGAAAAAGTTCTGACTTCCTTCCCCATATGCTTTTCCCTTTACTTGACTTTTCATAGTCAGCAATCTATTTTCCAATCCTACCACATTCCGAATCAGCATCCCACAATCACCAGAGAAACAGGACTGACCGGGAGCCCTCCCTGGAAGCACAAAGGGGATGCTCCATGAACTTCCCCTTGAACTTGATTCAAACCTAGACTCTCAGTTCAACTTGTGGTTGGTCAGCCAAGGAACAAGAAGACGTGGGAGAGAACTAGGTACAGACCGGGCTTCTGGGAAAGTCCCTGCTGCCATCTCAGTTTTTCCCAACCCCAACCAGGCCATATCCTGGGAAGAGGCACTTTTACTACCCCAGAAAACAGAAAACACAAAACTTACGGTGATCTTGCTGGCTTGGTTCAAGGCTTCGACCCAGTCCTTCAGATCTTTCTGGTCATTGGCTTGAAGGAAATATCTCTGAGACAGGGCATTGATAACTACAAAAGCCACGGAAAAGAAGGGAAGACATTCCTGGGTCAGAATACAAGCAACACAAGTCTCCACAAAGCTAAGGTGTTGGAGGGAGCAAGATGGGTGAACTCCACAAAGCAGATTAATAAATCTCCCATGATCTTAAGTCACTTGTCTGGATACTTAGGAAGCCCCAGGCCATACCTGCTCACTCTCTTTCCCACCTTTAAAAGCATCCCATCGGCCACAGAAACAACACCTGATGATGTCAACAGCAGCCTCAGTGTGCTGCTCTGCAGTGATGAGGCTGCTCCTCTGCCGTCAACAAGATACACTAAACCACATTCTGGCGCTGCTAATACATTTACTGTCAAGATGGTATATACAGAATTTTGGACTCGTGCTTGGTCTCCACTGGCACAACTGGTCTGGACTGGGAGGCTTGTTTGTGGCTGGGAAATATGACAAAGCTTTCCTGAGATCAAATCTATGACCTTGGCCTCACTCTAAACCCGTTCTTCCCTCTGAGCATTCCAGTAAGTCAACAATTTACTTCCATGTTTATTATTATTACATATATATTTTTTAGATGATAACCACAAAACTTGAGACTCATTTCTGAGCTTAGCTATGAAATTTGCAAGAATTAGAAGAATGAGAATACCAAAGATGTTTGAACCAATCTGAAGTGGAGACAAAGAACAGCTCAAGGGAATATTTTATTCTCCCAGCATATTTTCCCAACCCCAACCAGGCCATATGGGGTAGATGAGCAGGTGAGCCTCATGGGGTAGATGCAGAATTTATCTATTCATTCATCTGACAAATATTTACTGAGCAACTACTATGTGCTAGGAACCATCTTAAATGCTGAAGATACCACAGTGATAAGGCAGAATAATATCCCTGCCTTTGTGAAGCTTACATTCAGAACCACCCCAGAGAGGCAAGAGAAACTATTTGTTAGCATTTGCTCATAGCACTTAGCACAGTTCTGAGAACACAGTAGGAGCCAAGTAACTATTTGATGATGGATTCACTGAATTCACTGACTTGAGGCACCCATGGACAGTGACTCTGCTTCCTACACCATCCCCCAACAAATCACTCTGGACAACTGAGACCCTCAACAGAACACTCCTTGCTTTCTCATATCCCCTTCCTGGCACTGCCTTCCACCTCCCTTCTGAGTCCTCCATCTTTTCTGAGCACACCATTTCTCAGCTCTAAAATAAGGATTTGTAGAAACTTCTAGTGGACACTTTGCACCTGCCCTGTGGCACTGAGAAAACTGAAATGCATGTGGACAATTATTAAAAGAAAAAACGTGTTCGAGATGATAGATACTGATATGTTTGGATCTGTGTCCTCACCCAAATCTCATGTTCAATTGTCATCCTAGATGTTGGAAGTGAGGCCTGGTGGGAGGTAATTGGATCACGGTGGATTATGGGGGCGGGTTTCATGCTTTAACACCATCCCCCATGCTGTCATCTCATGATAGTGAGTTCTTGTGGAATCTGGTTGTTTAAATGTGTGTAGCACCTCCCACTCTCTTTCTTGCTTCTCCTCTGGCCCTAGAGAGCCTAAAGATCATGCAGAACAGTGAGCCAATTAAAACTCTTTTTTTTTTTTTTGAGATAGAGTTTCACTCTTGCTGCCCAGGCTAGAGTGCAATGGCGCAATCTCAGCTCACTGAAACCTCCGCCTCCTGGGTTCAAGAGATTCTCCTGCCTCAGCCTCCCAAGTAGCTGGGATTACAGGTGCCTGCCACCATGCCCAGCTATTTTTTTTTTTTTTTGTATTTTTAGTAGAGAAGGAGTTTCACTATATTGGCCAGGCTGGTCTCAAACTCCTGACCTCAGGTGATCCACCTGCCTCGGCCTCCCAAAGTGCTGGGATTACAGGTGTGAGCCACCGTGCCTGGCCAAACCTCTTCTGTTTTTAAATTACTCAGTCTCAGGTATTTCTTTATAGCAGCTCAAGAACAGACTAATACAGATATGCTAATTACTGTACATATTATGGGGTACACATTACATACCCCATGAATATGAACAATTATTATTTGTCCATTTAAAAAACAAAACTAAAACAAAAAAAAAAGAGAGAGAGAAAGAAAACAGAAATGTTACTAGTCCCTGGACCTCTGCCCTTACATTATTAACAACCTTTGCAGCAAGACCAGGGAAAAAATATCACTTGACACCCAGGACCGTCATTGTGATTTAAGTCACTCATACGCACAGGGTATAGTCACATGTGATCACAGGACTGTCTCCACACAAAAGAGGAAGTTGCCATATCAATATTAAAAGAGCCCATCCCCTGGCTTCGTACTTACCAAAGCAAAATGGAGTTTTGGGTTTCTGCTTTGGGGTAGCTATGCTCACCTAAATCAAATAAGAAATAAAAGAAACATGAATATGTTTCTTAAGATATTGAAAATTTCTTATTGTGAAATTTCTCATACAAAAGAGTATATTAAACAGATGTCTACATTTTTTAAAAATAATAAATGAAAACCCTGTACTCATCATCCAGATTAAGAAATAAGCATTATCAATCCTACTTCTTAGAAGCCCTGTGTGCCCCTCCCTGATAGAATTCCCACTCATCAGAGATAACCATTATCTTGATGTCTGTTTATCTTTACAAAGAAGATGTGTTATTTACTTATTTATTTAGAGATAGGGTCTCACTCTGTCACCCAGGCTGGAGTACAATGATACAATCACAGCTCACTGCAGCCTCCAACTCCTGGGTTCAAGTGATCCTCCAGCCTCCGCCTCCTGGCTAATTTTTTTTAATGCCACCATGCCTGGCTAATTAAAAAAAATTTTTTTGCAGAAACAGGGTCTTGTTATGTTGCCCAGGCTGGTCTCAAACTCCCAGGCTCAAGCAATCCTCCCATCTCATCATCCCAAAGTGTTGGGATTACAAGCATGAGCCACTACACCCAGCTCAAAAACACTTTTAAAAGTCATTGAGTCCTGACGAAAACCTATCCTGGCCTCATTCACACTAGCAAGATTCCCCTCCTCCCTTCTTCTTTCAACCACCAACCCTCTTCCTAAACAGTTTTCCAAGCTGAAGGCAGTATTGCTACAAATGCATGGATTCCCATCACAACACTCAGATAGATGAAGCAGCAAGCCGCTCGCTGTGCTCAGACACACGGAACAGTTGCCTTTACATTTGCCCTCATGGCCTAGCCATGAAAATAAGCACCTTCCAGGTGCCCAGAGAGAGGCTGATGGAACCAGAGAACAGGCCTATATATCTCAGGGAAGGGCAAGAAACAGAGGAGGTATTTCTCTACCTCCTGTTGCTGTATTTAATCTTGCTTTGGCAATCCTACACCTGGCATGTACACTCCTGAGTACCTGCATATGTGAACTCACATCATTCGGGCTCAAACAAAAGAAAAAAAGGAAGGAATTAATATTCCACCACATGCCCACAAAGATTAGGGACAATCCTTGACGGAGGCTGAGCCTCCCTGGAGAGAGTTTCCACCACTGAGCCTCTAAAGAGGCAGCCACCTTCGCATGGTTCCTAGGCTGGGGACTATTCACATAATGTCACAGTCCTCCCCTGGATACCATTCTTTCCATCCCTTTGCAGCCAAGGGTATTCTTCGACATCTCACCTAGTGGCTCCAGGAGTGGTTCCCACTTTATTTTGTTTGTTTTTGGGTGTTTTTGGTTTTTCTTTCTTTTTTTCAAGGTAGAGTTTTGCTTTTATTGCCTAGGCTGTTCAAGCAATTCTCCTGCCTCGGCCTCCGGAGCAGCTGGGAATACAGGCACCTGCCACCATGCCCAGCTAATTTTTTCTATTTTTAGTAGAGACAGGATTTCATCATGTTGGCCAAGCTGGTCTCAAACTCCTGACCTCAGGTGATCCACCTGCCTCAGCCTCCCAAAGTGCTGGGATTACAGGTGTGAGCCACCACGCCCAGCGGTTTTTCTTTCTTTGATATAGGGTCTCACTGTTACCCAGGCTGGAGTGTAACGGTGCGATCTCAGCTCACTGCAACCTCCACCTCCTGGTTTCACCCAGGCTGGAGTGCAGTGGCACAATCACAACTCACTGCAGCCTTGACTTCTCGTGCTCAAGTGATCCTTCAACCTCAGCCTCCTGAGTAGCTAGACTACAGGCATGTGCCATCACAATCAGCTAATTCTTCTATTATTGTAGAAATGGGGTCTACCTATGTTATCTGGGCTGTTCTCAACTTCCTGGACCCAAGTGATCCTCCTGCCTCAGCCTCACAAAGTGCTGGGATTACAGGCATAAACCACTGGAACTGGCTGATTCCTACTTTGATGGGCAGCCTATTAGAAGCCAGGTGCCAAAGAAGAAATCCTGAGTTGAAATTAAAGCCTCTTCCTGGCTGACGGTGGCTAGGGTCTAAAAATGACTGACCCACCAGTCTGTCTAGGTTCTTACTCTTGGCTCTAAGTTCTTGCTATACACCTGCCCAGATTCCTAAACCAAAATGAATATTGCCCCAAATAAATGGGAACTGAGGTAGCACCTTATAAAAGATCAAATTAAAGTCAGGTAGTCAGAGACAGAGTCTCAAATGACAGGTGTCCCAGCTGAGTGACCTCCATTTCCTGTTCTATCAAATAAGGGATCATAACATTGTGCTTTCATAGGGTTATCATGAGGGTCAAATATGATAGTGCAGGCCAGGCGTGGTGGCTCACACCTGTAATCCCAACCTCTTGGGAGGCCAAAGTGGGTGGATCACAAGGTCAGAAGTTCAAGACCAGCCTGGCCAACATGGTGAAAATCTATCTGTATTAAAAATACAAATAATTAGCCAGGGATGGTGGCGCATGCCTGTAGTCCCAGCTACTCGGGAGGCTAAGGCAGGAGAATCACTTGTACCCGGGAGGCAGAGGTTGCAGTGAGCCAAGTTGCACTGCAACTGCACTCCAGCCTGGTGACAGAGCAAGACTCCATCTCAAAAACAAAACAAAACAAAAGATAATGCAGGTACGACAGCCATTCTTCCACACAGACTCTGCTCAACCCAGGAGGGATTAGTTATAGCTTTTGATACCTCATTTCCTTTAAAGCCTCACTCCACACATCAATATAGGCAATGCCCTGCCTAGAACTATGGATAAAATGCTGAGGGCCCATGAGTTTCTCTGGGCCTGCAAAACTGTATGAAACCTGAAAAAAACTGCCCGGTATCCTACATTCAAAGTGAAGATGCCATATCTAATGTTAATAAATATTTAACTAAAAGCCTATATAACATCATATCGACCTCCCTGATGAGTACTTAAATGCGTATAAGATGTTACCTCAAGTCAACGTCATTCATTTTTCAATGAAACATTAAAAATTTTTTCATTTGAAAATAATTGGTACCAGGCCAGGCACAGTGGCTCATGCCTGCAATCTCAGCACTTTGTGAGGCCAAGGTGGGTGGATCACTTGAAGTCAGGTGTTCGAGACCAGCCTGACCAGCATGGAGAAACCCCATCTCTACTAAAAATATAAAATTAACTGGGCATGGTGGTGCATGCCTGTAATCCCGGCTACTTGGAAGGCTGAGACAGGAGAATTGCTTGAACCCGGGAGGTGGAGGTTGCAGTGAGGCGAGATCCTGCCATTGCACTCTAGCCTGGGTGACAAGCAAGACTCTGTCTCAAAAATATATATATATATATAAATTTTCCTACTTCACAAGAATCCTTTTGTGTGTGTGCAAGATGATTGCAAAGAAATTAGAGCCAGTTACAAATTGGATGAGTTACTCAGAGCCAAATCGTTCCAAAAGTAAAATGATTAAAATCCTTTCGAATATTTTATAGCCAAACAATTATATTTAATAAGGGATGTGGGCGCATTTTGAGATGTGAGGTGAAAGCCATAGAGCGTAAGAAAGACCTTTAAAAAAATGAAGATTTGAGCAAAGGTAAACTCACTTATCCCGAGTTCGGACACAGACCATCCAAATTCAGTTGTGTCTTAACTCACAGGTAAGAGGACGCTGGTGGGTCCTTAACACAATGGTCCGGGCCCACAGGCATCTTGCTTCCTGGGTTTCTGACCCACTGCCCCCCGCCCCCCGGCAACAACAATTTGGACCATAACGCAGGCCTCTGTCCTGCTTACACCTGAGTGTTGATCTGTCAGTAACTCGTTTCCTTGCTTTGGCCCTCAGTGTCCACACTCCCACAGTCCTCTTGTGCATAACTCCTGGTTGTCCTGCCCCTGATGCCTGCATGATCCTGACCACAGCAAAGCTGTCTTTGGCCATCCCAGCCCTCAGAACGCACCTATCTCACGCCTCCCCTTCTACTTCCAGCTTTTATTTATTTATTTGTGAGTCAGAGTCTCGCTCTGTCATCCAGTCTGGAGTGCAATGGTGCGATCTCGGCTCACTGCAACTTCTGCCTCCTGAGTGCAAGTGATTCTCCTGCCTTAGCCTCCCAAGTAGCTGGCATTACAGGAATGCACCATCATACCTGGCTAATTTTTTATATTTTTAGTAGAGATGGGTTTTCGCTATGTTGGCTAGCTGATCTCAAACTCCTGACCTCAGGTGATCCACCCGCCTCGGCCTTTTAAAGTGCTGGGATTATAGGCATGAGCCACCACACTTTGCCTTTGTTTATTTTAGAGATGAGATCTGACTCTGTCACTCAGGCTGGAGTGCAGAGGCACAATCATGGCTCACTCAGCCTCAAACTCCTGGACTCTAGTGATCCTCCTAATTCAGCCTCCTAAGTAGCTGGGACTATAGGCAATTGCCACCATGCCCAGCTAATTTTCTTTTTAAAATTGTTTTTGTAGAGACAGGGTCTCACTATGTTACCGAAACTGGTCTTGAACTCCTGGCTTCAAGTTATCTTCCCACCTCGGCCTCCCAAACTGCTGGGATTACAGGCATGAGCCACTGTGCCCAGCCTATTTCCAGCTTTAGAATGACTTTGAAAAGCTGGGAACTCCAATACCCTTTCTGGCTTATTAGGAGAATTGCCTTTTCTCTGAAAAACTCCTATTTGTCACCAACTAGAGAGAGCACCCCAGGTAGACAGTTTTCACTGTTTGGATAACAAATGCTCATTCTGACCACAACTGATTAGCCAGCCTGTGCTGTGAGAATGCTACCCATGTGCTTATTATGGGAACTGGAGCCTTCAAAGAGACGGTCTGGCTTTGTGTTTGTTTTCCTCTGTTTATCCAGTTTTGGTCAGGAGGCATGTGTGAGTGCATGCGTGTACAACTATCACTGGCCTCATGCCTAACGGCTTACCACGGAAGGGCGATTCGGCAAACCAACTCACTGCTGAATTAACAAGATCGGGTCTGGTTCTGCCCTGACTGGTTCCTGCAAGGGTAAGACCCTCAGTGTCTCTGATCGGCTTCATAATAGGCAAAGCCAGAGTAAAAAACACTATTCCCCTTTGCCACAGAGTGGCAAAAGAGGACAATGAAATGATTCTGCCTGTTGCTGAGTTCCACAGAAAGAAAGGCCAAGGTGGGGCCAGGCGCGGTGGCTCCCACCTGTAATCCCACTTTGTGAGGCTGAAGCGGGCGGATCACCCGAGGTCAGGAGGTCAAGACCAGGCTGGCCAACATGGTGAAACCTCGTCTCTACTAAAGACACAAAAATTAACCAGGTATGATGGCAGGCGCCTGTAATCCAAGCTACTTGAGAGGCTAAGGCAGAACAATCGCTTGAACCCAGGAGGCAGAGGATGCAGTGAGCCAAGATCACACCACTGCATTACAGCCTGGGTGAGACTCCACTCAAATTTTTTTTTTAAAGGCCCAGAAGGAAATCTAACTTATCATGGAAACGTGGTGGCTTCGCCTCTCCCTGACATTCGGTGACTATGGAGACAGGACTCCTGCCCACTGGGAGGAATAATCCTACTCTACCCCCACCCAACCAGGGATCATGCCAGGTGGTTACAGCCTCTTTCAAACACCATGAAGAAACAGAATATCCTCATGAAGAGGCGTGGCTGCAGCAGGGGTGAGGTCACCCGACCGTCTGACTCCAGTGAGGCACCAAGGTGCAGCCATCTGCACAGCTGAGGTGGCCACAGGTGGGGCACTGCACGGCAGTGGTTGACTGTGGGTCCTGTGAACACACCAGCAGCAAGCAGAGGTCAGGGATGTGAGCAGGGAGTGGGCACAGGTTCTCCGTAGAGTGACGCAGACCGGGCTGCTCCACAGCTCAACAGACTCTCAGGAACTCGCCCTTATCAGATCAAACACAGACCACAGGAGCTGCAAGCTTGTCAGCGGCCAGGCACAGCTAGGGCCAGCCCCACCCTGTCTGCACTTGGCCGGAAGAGGAGCTGGGGCCCCTCTGGCAGAAGCAGCGGCCACAAAACAAGGTCTCCTAGCTCTGCTCTGGCCTCTGCCACAGTGTCTGGGGTGACCTTGCCCCACGAGGTGGCATCAGGAGCAGAGGAATAACAGTCACCTACACAGTATGGGGGTCTCTGGCCCAGCTTCAGGAGGTCAGTGGGCTCCCTGGAATTATAGGTAAAAGCAGGGTGTGTCCATATATCTAAGCATTTACCTGGAGAAGGCGTGCATGCTTTTCATCAGCCTCCCTCGCAAAACAATCCACAACCCCCCACAAGTTCTTTCTGAGAGGTGACTGAAAGCAAGGCCCTGACAACTGGTACACAGCTGGGGGTGGGACAGTGGGGTTGGCTATGCAGTCGGGAGTGGGTTGAGGGTGGGGGTCATAGGGCAGCTTTAATTATTTTCCAGTTTGTTAAGAACTGGTTCTGTTGCCATAGATGCTCTAGATGACATCCAATCATCACTTTCATCTCTGTCTGTCTCGGGCCAGAGGCCACAGGCCCATCCTCATCTTCTGGACACTGGCCCTCAGCAGACAGCAGAGAAACACACACTCGGAGCAGAGAGCCCACCTACAACTCTCTGGCCAGGCCACCTGACACCGTGGCAAGAGCTTTCCTCCAGGAGGAAATACCTAAGGGTTAACAAGAAATGACCTGGAATGCAGAGCTGGAGTCCAGCGTCTCGGTGGCTACATTTCTTTCTGGGAAAATCCCCTGCTTTCTGGCAGGGGGTCAGGCAGGAGTTAAACGCTCTGAGCTCTGTGTAACCCGACCCAGTGGCAGCTGTGGGTTTTGCAAAATGCCCACCCAGCCCTGCCTTTCTCGGGATGGAGCTAAACAGCAGGTCACCCTTTCCAAACGGGGCAGCCTCCAAGGCTGAGAACTCTAAAACCCTCATCTGAGCTGCATTTATAAATCATGATTCAGCAGGAGATTGAATTCACTCTTCCCCAACCAAAAAAAAAAGGTCTTCCCAAACCCTCTCACACAGGAGAGGGTTTCATTTTTCATTTATTACTGCGAGGTTCTCTGCTCTAAATTCTCTGTCTCCGACCCTCCTGGAGAAATGACCTCAGAAGCTCTCAGCAAGATGAGGACAAGCCAGGAAGGGCCGGCAGGCCTGGGCCTCTGGCTGCTCTGGCTGGGGGAGGCGGCCACATTTCTCACCGCAAGGCATGCACAAATTGCCAGCAGCTGTACTAGCAAGGCTGGACTTGAAAGGGCCCTTCCCCCAGCCCTGAGGTCATTCTCTCCCTCTTTAATCTGTCCTGACGCTGCCCTGCATCTTGTATCTTGGTACCGGGCCGTGTCTGCCAGACTCTGCCTGCACACCACAGGCACAGGGACGCACTGCCCCTCCAGCCAAGGGTGGCCTCTCCTCCAGAGGCCCCCAGTCCCCTCCAGGTTCATCTTCTGATCATCCAGGGTGCAAGGCTCCCAAAGCTTGTGACAAGATGGAGCTGGTAGACTCTTGACTCAGGGGCCCCCAGGTCTCAAGGTCCTGAGGATGAGAGGGGATGGCAAGGCAGAAGAGGCCCCCAAGAGGCCTGCAGTGAGGGGGCGTGGGGAGAGCAGGGCTTCTGAAACCTCAGTACTGGCCGGCTGCCACCTGGCTCTGCTCACTGTACAAAGAGTTCCTCTTTCTGGGGAGGCTCTAAATCTCCCGGCCTTTTTATCACCGCTGCATCACGGGTCAGCAGCGGTGCCTGCTCCAGGGAGGGACTGCTAATAGAAGCTGAATTCAGTAGTGACATGTGGGCACCATTAACCAGCCCTCACCCCAGCTCTCAGCACAAGAGAGGGGCTGCTCCAGCCCCTTCTGTACAAACAGGACTGGGGGCGCCTGGCAGCCACCTGCCCTAGTCCCCATCGGTGATCGGCTGCTGAATGTCCTCTTGGCAATCTGAGTGGCTTCTCGGGCCTCCTTAGCCTTCCCTCCACAGTGATCCTGTCCAGGTGAATGATGAAATTCCAGTGAAGCCCCAGCATTTTCTGAGTTACTTCTGTTTGACTGTACCCTTTGAGAGAATCCACAGTTGCTGGATTTTTGGTGATTGTTTTTGTGTTCCCTTTCGTCCCGATTACAAAAAAAAAAAAGGTCACAGGTCATGTCCCACCCCTACCCCAGCTCCACCACCACAAAACCCGTCCTGAGCAGGAGCTGGGATCATTAAGGGTTGATGTGTTCAAGGAGGAAGAGGCCGCAGGCCCACCCTCCAACAACTTTCTAACCACATACCTCTCCAGCCACCCATCAGCAGCTAAGCTTCCACAGGCAGTGTGTGGGGTCGGGGAGCATTTCAACACCATGCAACGTCCCAAAATACTAATGGCCGAAGGACTGGGGACTGGACACTTCCCCTTGCTTAGAAACCAGATCGACTTACAGAGCATGAATTCCCAGAGTTCCAGGTCAACATTACCTTCGAGATGTAGGTCAGTTGCAAAGCTCCGACAGCTCCTGCCCCGACTGCCAGATTCTGAAAGACACAGTTTTCATTTTAAGAAGGCTGTAGAAACAGCACCAGGAGACAGAAGACCAAGATTCTAGCTCTGTTAATGCCACTTTCCTGGTAACCTTCAGCAAGTTACTTTAATGTGCATTCCTGACCTGTGATGATAATTTCTCGATAATGATTCAGGATTCCTGATGGACACCTGTGACATTAACATTACCCCCAAGCCTTATCTATTAGAGAGAAATATTCTACTACAATAGTAAAAGTGTATGCTCACACTGGGCATAGTGGCTCATGCCTATAATCCCAGCACTTTGGAAGGCCAAGATGGGAGGATCACTTGAGGCCAGGAGTTTGAGGCCAGCCTAGATAATGTATCAAAAAATCTTTAAATTAGCTGGGTGTAATGCCTCACACTTGCAGTCCCAGCTCCATGGAAGGTTGAGGTGGGAGGACCGCTGGAGTCCAGGAGGTGGAGGCTACAGTAAGCCCTGTTAGTGCCACTGTACAACAGAGTGAGATCCTCTTTAAAAAAAAAAAAAAAGAAAAAGCGTATGCTCCACTGTGAACAAGTTCCTTAACCACTAAGCCTCAGCTTTTCCTTCTGTGGAATAGGGATAATAGTATCTGCCTCATAAGAAAGCTATAAAAATGAGTTAGTACATTTAAGAAGGCGAAGTGGCTCACGTCTATAATCCCAGCACTTTGGGAGGCTAAGGCGGGCAGATCGCCTGAGGTCAGGAGTTCCAGACCAGGCTGGGCAACATGGTGAAACTCCATCTCTACTAAAAACATAAAAATTAGCTAGACATGTGGCACACACTTATAGTCCCAGCTACTCGAGAAGCTGAGGCAGGAGAATCGCTTGAACCCGGGAGGTAGGGGTTGCAGTAAGCTGAGATCTCACCACTGCACTCCTGCCTGGGCAACAGAGTAAGTCTCCATCCCCCAAAAATAAAAAAATAAATGGATACATTTAAGAGCACTTGGAATTGTCCCTGGTATGTAGAAGACTCTCAGCAAGTGTGAGCTCTTATAGTTTTCCATGTGCCCTGACATCTCACTGACTCTGTCCTGTTTTATGCCAATGCAACATTTTTAATAATACATAGGATTCAAGCTCACACAGTATAGAAATAATATATATCATATATATGTTATATATATTAATATATATCATATGTTAGATACATTTTTAGATATGTTATATATATTAATATATTATATATATATATCACAGCCCTGTGAAATGGGGTATATATATATCTGCTCAGCCCGTTTAACAGGGCTGTTATAAGTAGCAAAGGGAAGACGTCCGTACAGTATAAAACACAAAGTGAATGCACTATCACCACAGCAGGAGACTCACAGGCACCAGGTCTGGCAATGAGCCCCACCCTGGCACACGCTCTCTGGCTTTCTAAAGTCCCCATTGGCAGGGATGAAGCAGCAAAAAGCCAGGGCAGTCCCACGCCAGAGTCAGGGTTAAGGTTAGAAATCACAGCTGTGGGGCTTCGAATGAACACCATTATCCTATGAATCTGAGATTCTGTTCATAGCTCTTGCTGACCTCTTAAACTGTTGCCAAAAGCCTTCCCTTCAAGAAAAATCTCTGAAGCCCCCATTACCTGGGGTCCTCTCAAAGCAATAAAAGGAGGTGAATCTTGGATAAAGGGAATTTAGTAAATGTACCTAAGAATTCTCAGTGAAATGACCTATCCTATCAGGAGACAGCCTTAAGAAATGTCTCAGGTGTGCCAGGCGTGGTGGCTCACACCTGCAATCCCAGCACTTTTGGAGGCCAAGGCAGGTGGATCACTAGGTCAGGAGTTCGAGACCAGCCTGGCCAGCATGGTGAAACCCCATCTCTACTAAAAATACAAAAATTAGCCAGGCATGGTGGTGCACTCCAGTAGTCCCAGCTACTTGGGAGGCTGAGGCAGGAGAATCACTTGAACTTGGGAGGCAGATGGAGGTTGCAGTGAGCCAAGATTGCACCACTGCACTCCAGCCTGGGCAACAGAGTGAGACTCCATCTCAAAAAAAAGAGAGAAAGAAAGAAATGTCTCAGGTGGATCAGGTATGGTGGTTCACACCTGTAATCTCAGCACTTTGGGAGGCTGAGGTGGGAGGACTGCTTGAGTCCAGGAATTTGAGACCACCCTAGTCAACACAGTGAAACCCCGTCTCTATAAAAACATTATATATTTCTTTTTCTTTTTGTTCTTTTCTGTAAATATCTCCTCAGGTAGTAGGGAAGAGTCCTTCTAACCCCAGTTATCTAAATTAACACACATCGTCAGAAGCAAATTCAAGCAAGAAAATGGACGAGGATAATACCACCAATATGTTTTGTATTCTCAAAACCTGAGAATCTTAGAGTGGAGGACCTAGAAAAGCCTGCACTCCTTGTTCTTGCCTTTGTGAATGAGGCAGTAAGCTAAGAGCTGCCTCTCACTGCCAGATTCACATGTCAACTGTGGACAGTCTGATTTACACTTCTATTTACACACTTTTTCAACCACATAGCAACTGCTTTTCAGGGTTCGTTTGTTTGTGTTTAGGAAACCTTTATTAGGTAGGGAGAGACAGGCCTTGTAGCCCCTAAATCAGAATCCATATAGGAGCCCCAGCTCCCAAAAGGCATGAGTGACAGACACTGCCCTGGAAGGGAATGAGAACCGCTCTGGGCAAAGACACTGTGCTGCCCAAGGTCAGACTTCCAGAGGGGGACCCACAGGCTCCAGGGACACAGGAGCCACAGGACTCTGCTCAGGACTAAGCGTCTGCCACCACCCCCGACCCGATTTTGCAGTTTAGGAAAGTGGCTCATGAGTGAGGGGATTTGTCCAAGGTCACATAATTGGTGGCAGAGCCTAAACCAATGCTGACTTTCAAGGCCAGTGGCCTGGAAGTGGCATGGGGTAATTTGAAAAGCCTGAGCTGTTGGAATTCTAGCCGTGACATTAACGCTCTGTAACCATAGGCAAGTCTCTGTACCTATAAAACGGAGATGATAAACCCTGTTTTGTAGGGCGCTGGGGAGAATTCCACGGAAAGACACAAGACAGCCCAGCCTACTGGAGTCCCAATTCCCCTCCCACAGCGCTAATTACAAGATGCAAACGCCGAGTCTCAGAGCTGCTGCTGCACTGCACACTCTCCTTACCCCAAATCGCAGCCCAGTGGCCTCCAGAGTCCCAGCCTGAATTATGAGTGATGAAGTGGGATTTGGGGAACCATTCGGACGCTAACCCATACGGCACAACAACTATGAGCTGATCGGGTTTCAACTACCTCATCCCCTCTGCCCCTCGAGGGCTGCTCCACCCTCTGTCCCAGCCGCCCTGGCAGCTCTCCCTGTTCAGAGAGAAGGATGTAGCACCCAGGACCCCAAGGGTGAGGGCGGGGGTCCTCATCCCTTCACCCACACTCCACCCACAGTCTGTTCCTCAGCTCAACTGTACCACCTCTCCGCCGGGAGAAGCCAGGAAAGGCCAGGAAAATATGACTTGTGTCTGATGCTGTCTCCCTTCCACCTTCCTCCTCACCCAGGGGAAATGGGAGACACAGGAGAAAACAGCCCCAGGATCCCTGAGGCTTGATCCAAATTGATGCTCAGTGTCCACTCCACTGACTGGCCCTAGAAGATGGACAGTGACAGCTGAGCGCCAGATGACACATCGGCAGTCCCTGGCAGGTGCTTCCTGATCAAGAAAAACAGGGAGGGCCTGCTTGAGCTGAGGGCCAGGCAGCCAGTGTCAGGGCAGGAAGGCCAAGAAACAGCACCTAGGGAGGGGCAGGGCATCAGAGCTGGGGAGGAGAGTCCACCCAAGCTGTCCCCCTCTTCCCTGGCCACAGATCAGACTCCTTTAGGAGAAGGACAAACTCAGGACTCTCCTCCCCAAATCCTTCTCCAACCAACTCCAGCCTGCCGTGGCCTCCCCCTCTCTGGATTTAGGCACACAAATCCTTCTCCAACTTCAGCACGCATCAGAATCTCCTGGAGAGCTTGTTTTTAAAACCCCAAGAATGGCCGGGTGCAGTGGCGCACACCTGTAATCCCAATACTTTGGGGGGCTGAGATGGGAGGATCGTTTGAGGCCAGGGGTTCAAGACCAGCCTGGGCAACATAGCAAGACTCTGTCTCTACAGAAAATAAAATAAAGAAATTAGCTGGGTGTGGTGGTGGCGCATTTGTTGTCCCAGGTATGTGGGAGGTTGAGGTGGGAGGATTACTTGAGCCCAGGAGTTTGAGGCAGCAGTGAGCTATGATCGTGTCACTGCACTCCAGCCTGAATAACACAGTGAGACCCTGACTCTATGAAAAAGAAAAAAGAGATTTTTTTTTTAAAAAAGCCCACACTCAATCTTCCCCCACAGAACACTGAATGAGAGTTAAATGGAATGTGGTCAGAACATGTACTTTTTTTTTTTTTTTTTTTTTGAGACAGAGTTTCACTCTTGTTACCCAGGCTGGAGTGCAATAGCGCGATCTCGGCTCACCACAACCTCCGCCTCCTGGTTTCAGGCAATTCTCCTGCCTCAGCCTCCTGAGTAGCTGGGATTAAAGGCACACGCCACCACGCCCAGCTAATTTTTTGTATTTTTAGTAGAGACGGGGTTTCACCAGGATGGTCTCGATCTCTTGACCTCGTGATCCACCCGCCTTGGCCTCCCAAAGTGCTGGGATTACAGGCGTGAGCCACCGCGCCCAGCCAGAACATGTACATTTTTAAATGCTCCCAGGCGATCCCTAAATAGGCCCAAGTTTAAGAACAGCTGGTCAGTAGGACAAAACTCTAGCCTTGGACTCTGTACTTGGAGTATGTTTTTCTGAGAGTTTAGATAAGCCCACCAGGTTCATAAAGTATTGGAAAATCAGTGCAGCTCTGCTCACCACCGGCAAACAGCGTTTCCTTGTGACATCTACCAGGTTCCAACTTGGAGGTCACTTCGGTTTGCAGTTCCCATAACCTAGGCAAGGCCTCTGTGGGACAGGAATCAGGATCAGGTAGAAG